TCCATTGACTTGAATGGAGACAGGGAACTGGTTGAATGGTTCACGAATGTTCTGGGCAAGAACGTATAAGAGAACTATTACAAATCCCAGTTCTACAGCTATTATACATGTTGTACTTGGAATCAAGTGACGAGGTAACTATACACTTGCCAACTATTAAATCTATTTCCTATCTGCTATAAACTGACAGTGGACTATAGCTGTAATCCAATAAACAGCATAATGATACTCACTTGCATCAATCCATCAATCTGGTCTATCTCAACTGTCTCCCAAGGGACTTACGCGGCCGAAGGAGGTATAGGAACACGTGTCCTCTAAAACACAAGGGTGGCTTGTATCCGACCTGAGATCAAGAATCTTACGTTTCCTTAAATAATAATTATGCTATCATGTGTGTTTTCACAGAAGAACAAGCATTTAGTGCCCAAGTGAATTAAAATTCCAGTTAATAATTTCCCATTGAATCGACAGTCATTTTCCTGCAGACTTAGTTCTAGTGCAGTGTGTGCATCGTATCAATTCGTTAATTTTAATTTGCTCGCCATGGAACACATACTCCTAACCCTCGCGCTTAGCAACGGACAGGCATCCCTTATTCCCTCCCTAGTAACAGAGTAAATTGATCAGCTGTCAAATGTACCCTTAGAGCGAGATCCATTCCGGATTCCAACATATACGCAGTGTCAGCCAATCGTTAGATGAATTCAATGTGTGTTGATTGAGCTATTTACCCGCGACCAGCCTGGAGAGAGATTAAGCTATATTTCATGGAGCATCGTTTATAGTCAAGGGTTTAAGGTTTATAACTGATATTCGTATTTTTAGACAATCAGCGCAGCGCCAGTGCAACAATAGACATTGATCATAAATGTGCCAATAAGTACGTATTAGACAATTACAAAATGACTTTGAATGACAAGCTAGCAGCTCCGACCTGATTAATTGTTATGATATTGATTGACATGGCGTGGGCCTCGTACTATTAGCAACCGTTCTGTATACGCCAATCAAAATGTAATTGACATGACTTCCTGTCTTGCACGTGAATCCAAATCACATGTTCAATGCTCCGCAGCCGTGGTCGTAATACCGCGTTTTGAAAACTATTTTGATGTTTGTTTCGCAACACTGAATGGAAATGACTAAAAATATTCGGCGATGAAACTTGATTGAGCTCTGTTGCTAGTTGATGACTTGTGTTTGTTTCTTTGTATGAATCATCTATTGAAATCAGACTCACGGCATTGATCTGTTTGGACCCTTAGCTGACTGAGGATTGTATTCCAAGTGCATATCGAACACTTGAGTTAGCGGTAACCGGAACCATGGGACGTTACTTAGTTTGAAAACGGCGAGAGAAGCGGCTGGGGGGTGTTCGGGGTGGGGGTGCATTCCTCTAGGGGTTGTCAATGACATGCGATTTACTTTGGCGTTACACTAGGGCGTATCAGTGATATTTTCATTACTGTTTGGTTTGTCAGTTGCATTGGTATTACTCAAGAGCTTGTCTATCATAATAGCACTACCCTAAGGCTTATCAATCATAAAGGCATTTATCTAGGTTCTGTCAATCATAATGGCATTACTCTAGGGCTTGTCAATCATAATGACATTTCTTCAGGGCTTGTCAATCATAATGACATTACTGTAGGGCGTGTAAATCATAATGACATTACTCTAGTGCCTGTCAGTCATAATGACATTACTCTAGGGCGTGTTGATCACAATGAGATTACTCTGGGGCGTGTCAATCATAATGACATTAGTCTAGGCGCGTGTCAGTCATAATTACATTAGTCTAGGGCGTGTTAATCATAATGACATTACTCTAGAGCGTGTCAGTCATTATGAAAATACTCTAGGGCGTGTCAGGCATGGTGACATTACTATAGGGCGTGTCAGTCATGATGACATTACTCTAGGGCGTGTCAGTCACAATGACATTACTTTAGGGCGTGTCAATCATAATGACATTACCCATGGGCTTGTCAATCACAATGACATTATTCTAGGGCGTGTCAGTCATAATGACATTACTCTAGGGCGTGTCGATCACAATGAGATTACTCTGGGGCGTGTCAATCATAATGACATTAGTCTAGCGCGTGTCAGTCATAATTACATTAGTCTAGGGCGTGTCAATCATAATGGCATTACTCTAGAGCGTGTCAGTCATGATGACATTACTCTAGGGCGTGTCAGTCATGATGACATTACTATAGGGCGTGTCAGTCATGATGACATTACTCTAGGGCGTGTCAGTCATAATGACATTACTCTAGGGCGTGTCAATCATAATGACATTATTTTAGGGCGTGTCAATGATAATGGCATTACTCCTTGTCTGTCATGTTGGCAGTACTGAAAGACGTGCTGTGAGGTATATTAACTTTGCGTTGTAGTAAAATGTAAAAATACCTTTGCATTGATACCTTTGTGTTCATACTAACATGTGTATCCCCGGAGTCTCATTCCACAATCATCCCCTTCTCAGTTCCTGCATCCTAGAATAATCCCCATAATCACGTTTACATCTAATGTCCTGAAATGACGAGACACCAGGGTTCCGTTCTAATGGACGCCTCCTTAATACAATTATGTTTATTAACCTAGATCATAACTTTATTTCGGCGACTGTATGCTAGTCTACTTACGAGACACAACACACAGAGGGGCCACTGCCATGTGTAAATACAGAACTGGGAGGCCAGTACAAGGCCCTACCGAAGAAAATATAAGAAGTCAAACTCGAGTCCAGAATGATTGGGCAAGTCTATATTGCATCAGGTCTCTTGAAATTTAAAATTGTTCTTGGAGTAGCTATTGGAATAGATATATTTATATATCTGTATAGGGAGACCGGCAGGGAAGGCAAATAGTCAGGAAGTCGGGGGCAGGTGTAGGCAGATAAAGGAGATTGTACGTGCGACTCGCGCACTCTTCTGGAGCGCAGTCCATCGGTAGAAAGGTCACAAGATTTGTATCGGTTTCATGCTGAAGGGTACATACTTGAAGCGATCGAAACTAACGTCGGTCCTTAGGCCCAAAGCCGACTGAAAACCACTCGGACCCACAGCTTTTGTTTTCTGCAGCTTTTGTTTTCTTCCCCAATAACTAAGAGTATTATTTTCCAGAAACTATCCTTCAGTAATTTCTAGTTGTTTTTTTTCTTCTGTTGTTGTAAATGAAGACTAGTCAGTCACTAGAGTTACATTAAACTCTTTAACTCAGTTTGCTATTTGTCACATTTTTTGTTTGCTGGGAGTTACTCATATTGTAGCTAAAACATCGGACCTACACATTCTGATCAGGGCCCACAACTTTTTATGGTTCTGGGTCCTTAGGGCCTGCAGCTTTTTCAGGGTTAAGGGCAAACACTACAAACTTGGTTGATCCATTAATCAATGTCAGTATATGCGTTGCGCGAAGGATTCTTGTCAGACTTGTCGATTGTGGACGTGCATCTTTCTGGTGTTATCATTCACTACACAGAGCCCCACCACGTGTCTGATCTATGATATGGACGCCACAACCAATATAGCTGGTTTGCAACACGATGTATTAACAATTGCCACATTAAGAAGTTCTTACTTCGATTCTTTTCCTGGTCCATATTCCCTCATGAAAGTGCACCCTTGCTATCCTTGACTCCGTATTTGGTTCATATTCCTACATGAAAGTGCACCCTTGCTATCCTTGACTCCGTATTTGGTTCATATGCCTACATGAAAGTGTATCCATGCTATCCTTGGGTCTGTATTTGGTTCATATGCCCATATCAAAGTGCTATCCGTGGGGTCATATTTGGTTCACTCCGCACAATATCCTTTAACAGAACTATTAACATATTTGCCCAAGTTCACATCCACGATAACCGTGACGTAACTATGCAGTATTAGTTTCTGGCAATACTTTGTTGCCACTGTTCAGAATTTTGCTATCTACCTAATTTTAGAATGATTCCATTGAGATCAACTTTTCTAACGATTTCCTTTCGCGCGCCACAAGTCACCTCGACTCGGCTTTGGGCACAATGTTACATTACGTTACCCCGGACAATGAAAACTCTGTTTCAAAACTAGTTCCAGTTCCAACTGTGTCTGCTTGTGAACTGTAATCGCTTATATTCTCCTCTGTCCGATTCGCTGGTATAGCCCTCACCGCGGGTCCTCACTGAGATCGACTCCGCTTATGATGATGACTCTTTGGGAATAGGATCGCACGATAAAATGTATACCTTCAATGACACCAGTCATTTTCGTCTTCTGTCAAATAGAACTTTCATACGAGTCCAAATCTACCCTGAATTTGAACTGTTACCCCGGCGCACCGCTAGACCCGATTTCAGATGAACCAAACCTATTCTTGGATCCCGATTACACCAGGAGAGCTGGTGTGTTCTTGTCACGCCATACACCGAGTTCGAATATTACAAAATTGCCGTGAAACATCACTCACTCACTCGGAATGGTTATACGTGTCAAGTCAAGTCTTTTATTGTCTATAGGCCACAGGCCCGTATAGAACAATTTTACATAAATTTACACATGTATATACCTTAACAAAGTTTGAGTTTACAATCAATAGATATAATGGTACAGTACGTGGAGAAATCATACACAAATATATATCTGAATGAAATGGCAAGTATTTTGATTCTCTTAGTTTGTATGCATGGTGTTAATATGTACATAATTTTCTTAGAAGTAGAAGTGTTTCGTTACTATTAGTTAATGGGAATTTCAACCTATTATAATTAGGTTTTTGACATACAGATGGTAAATATTTTGATCTAAGAGCATTATAAACATTACTAACAAATAAAAAGTGGTACTCATCTTCTTCTCCTAAATTGCACAATGGACAGTTGAGTTCCGTTACATTGATATTTTACCATCTACCTTCATTATACTTTAATCTTAGCAATCGACATCTAAATGTAATGATCAATATCTTACGGAGTATTCTGTCTACAACACATGTCCTGTCTGTTTCAGAGGATGGATCCCACATTCTGGTGCGACATTGCAGCAACGACAACTGGGGAAGTCACTGCGGTCTCATCAGATTCGAATACGAGAGGAGTACAGAGAAGATCTATGGGTGTCTGGAGTCATGTGATCACGACGGCTGTAATGGCGGCGTAGGTGTCGCAGCGCAAATAATCACAACCCTGCTGTCGAGTATTGCAGTTGCCTTCGTGGTGTGGTGAAAACAATCCAATCATTTAATCATTAAGGGGATTCTCCAACTCGATCAAAGAACGCACTGAGGAGTCTGTTCCCTACGTTAACGGTTGTGACTGGAGATACTGTAAGCACGTCAACATTCCGACTCCGAAAGCAGATCCACATCTATGCATGGGACTTTTGTTTCATATGCACTATATTTTTTTTGTATACGTTACCTCCTGTCTGTGGTATTGTCGGAGGGGAGTGAGCTCAGTTGGTTGACTTGCTCCCCCGCTGGAGATAGTCAAAGCAAGTGTACTATATCTGTGCGGAGTGTGATGGATTACCGTTACGTTTGTAGTTAAGAAATGGATACGGTAAAGGTCCCATTGTTCTCCATCGGAAGACAATCCAGACTGATAAGAGTCGGTCCCCCATGCCTGCAGCGCTGGAGAAAAGTTGTAAATTCTAGCGTGTTACAAAAAGGTACACATTCTAGAACTTCTGGCTCACATCGGGTATATTTGTCACATCGGGTACTTGTGATGGGACGGAACAGTATAGTATCCAGTATGATATGGGTGGATACTCGACATAGGACTGTGTCCGTACGCAATCATGGTTAAAGCTTGTATTCAGTAGCATGCATACACCCAGCATTGATAAAAGGATCGACCGATATCCTGTACACTTACAAAGGAAACAACTGCAGTATGGATGGGCTCCTCAATTCGAAGTAATTAGCATGGAATATATTCCGTCAACGTGACAAATACACATTTGTTTGCGTTTCTTAAAGACGTCTTTAAAGCGTAACCATGGCACATCTCGCCTATAATATTTGAACCGCAGTCAAGAGGAATTCGAGATCTTTTGAGAATTTCAACGAGATTGTTTGCCAGAACTTGGCGCCAGGACTTGATCCGATTTTATTCTTTTAAGTCAACAAATTATGTCATTGTGTGTCCATCCGTAGCAGCTAGTTCCCGAAACTCAAAGAAAGAATCACTGATGACAGATCAATCATAAATCACGGCTTACTCCACAATGATTGCTCATTTCCTCCTGGAGATTGGTTCTGTTTGTGACCTTGACCCTTTGGCAAAGGAAGATCACTTTGGGTCTCCTGTAGATACAGTTGTAGATGAAACATCGGAATTCATTCAGCGGCAGAAGCAACAGAATCATCATTGGTTAGACATTGAGTCGTGTCCACAATACCTAACCCTGGTAGGAACCCTCACTGATGCAGCACCTCCGCACAAATACAGACAATGATGGCTCCCTGTTGATGATGTGATTTTGGGTTCCGTTACACGTCTTGTTGTTGAATACTAGTTGTCACCATAGAAGAATTCACCTTATGTTTCCAAGGGCTTTGTGTTTGGCAGTTGCAGAGTCACTCTATTGTCCGACTCCCCCACAGTACTACTTACTGACAAATAACGCCGTTAAACAATACTTTTTAAATACGACACCCGCAACCATACCGGAAAGTCTTGTTCATCAAACCAGCATGAACTCAATAATTTAGTTTACCATTTTTCGCAGTTTTTCAGTTTAATCCTGGGATGTAAAGGATACCCGATGAGACTTTATTTGCGACTGAAAGTGAAAAGAATGTCTATTCAAAATGTAATTCCACTTGTTTATCAACCACCCACCCCCTTCCCCAAAAACAAACAAAACAAGAGTTTTCGGTATTTTTTTCGGCCCCAAAATAGTTTAAAGAAATCAGCTCTTTGTTCAGTATGTATATGGACATTACATGAATCTGTTGAAATAAGCAGCTCGTTGTAGCACTCAGTGTTGCCACTTACTGCAGGGCGTGACAGTCGACCTTGCAGGCAATGGGTGGCATAACACTATATAACAAATCAGTTTATGCACCTATATACTTGCTAACTATACTAATGCATATTAATCATGTGTGGTCACAGTGCTAGATAATCTACTAGTCGGTGTGGCGGACGGAGTGTTGCTTCAAACCCTGGTGCTACGACCAACAGCGAATTCACCCTTTCTTTTAGTTATTTTTGTGACTTATATGTGGCTAGTTTGATGTTTAATCTTTCACAAAAAAAACTGCCACATGTGTAAAATCTCACAATGGGATATGTCGTGTTCATCCTCTTGAATCACATGTCCGTTACATGTGTTCATTTTGCCCAGTCACTAATACGGGTCTACACTGAGGACAAAGTGGCCTCAATACGTATTGTGGGTGGGTCCACTATGGTAGGGAACTGGTTGTGTCGATACAGCGTTACACCCCTAATGAGTGCGGTCCGCTGGTTGGACTCTTCCAGGCCACCGCGTTGCTGTCGTGAGAGACGACTGACGTAAAACATCTTCGCTGTCCACGAACCAAGGGTGTTCATCTTTAACTTGTTACTTACATTCGGTACTTCTTGTAATCACCTTACGCTATCGCTGATGTCACTATGGATACTTTTGAGATGTTACCGTCATCCCTCGACGCCCGCTCTCCTTTCTCTATTATTGTGTTCTCGCATTTAAACTTTTTGCAACTTATTCAACCCAGTTATTGTTGGATGTTAGCAGTATGATTCCATGTTTTATTCTACCTTTATTCGTTAGTTTGTAGTTCTATTTGTTATTTTTTTCATATGCAAGTATTAACACGATTCGACGACAGAAGTGTTTCAAACGAGTCACAAAGTGGGACATATCCGACTACTTACGGAATGACGCTCAACGCTTACGTCAGTTTATCAATGTTTACAACAACATAAAATAAACTGAAATATTGCATGCCTTTGTACTTTGCCCGAGATGACTGTCCTATTTATTTATACCCATAGTCGATTTAGACTTTTGGGTTTTTTTGGTAAATGTGATACTCGTTTTTTTGACAATGTTTGTGAATGCCCCACCCACACCTTCAATGTCGTCAATTGATATAATAGTTATCGTGTATTTTCACCGTTAAGTTTCAAATGTTTATTATTTCCAACCTGTGATCGCACCGTGGTTGTGTGTCGTGTTCTGACAAGAGTTGCCTCCCCTACACCACTCACCGCCCGCATGTTCATCAAGACGATTTCCCCACAAAATGATGTTCTGTTGATATTGAAATTTGCTTGTGTCGCATTTCAGAAATTCATTCAGTTTGTTGATGTGAAATAAAATTATATACATGACACGCTATCTGGTCTGTCATTATTAATATCAAGCTGGTTGTCGGATGTGACCGTCACAATCAGTCCAGTACGTGGTCCCTGATGCAGACCAACATCTGGAATGTTTTACAGAAAATGAAACAAAATTATTTTACAAAAAGCTTGAAACCGCAGAAAAGAAGATTTGTCATATATCATACACTTATATTGGCTATATTAGGTATATTTGTTTCTGGGTCTGTATGACAGACTATACCTGATGGTATCATCTTTTAAAGTCGGCTCGTGTGCTTCGTTCTCTTTCATCTCATTGTTATCGTTCATATATTATTTATAGCCAATCAGAACCCTAGTTTCTTTACAGTGCGGGGTATTTGTAGAACAAAGTCGTCAAACTGGAACTAAGCAAAGGTCAACTGAGATGAAACTCATTGTAGCATAGTGTCTGTGTGGACCCGTGAAGATCCGGGCTAGAATTGGTCTTCGGTAAACCTGCTTGTAGTAAGAGGCGACTAACGGGATCGGGTTGTCAGGATTGCTGACATGGTTGACACATGTCATCGTATCCCAATTGCGTAGATCGATGCTCATGCTGTTGATCACTGGATTGTCTGGTCCAGACTCGATTATTTACAGTCCCCCGCCATATAGCTGAAATATTGCTGAGTTGGGCGTTAAACAACAACAACAACAACAACAAACCCAACAAAATAGTGTTTTTGTGTCGTGGATAGAATTGCGATGGGCAGGCTTACAGTTGCGAATGATTCAGCGTGTTTGAACGTATTATGTTTGTGTACTCGATCAAATGTATAGAAATTTGATATAAAAATAGAGGTACAAATTTTGAGCAGGGACGTTTTGCTGAAAATCTATATTTTGAGCTTTTGACGAAGCTCTCTCCCCCCAAAATAGCTTGATGTTTTCTAAGCCTCATTATGTAGATAAATGTACTGACTTCGGGTAAGAATATAGCCTTATAGCAGGGGCGTAGGAACAAAAGGGGGGGGGGGCTTAGCCCCCCCACACTTTTTTCAAGACGAAACCATATCTACCTTACCATAACTACAATAGCATTTTGATTTTCAATACTTTTCATAAATTCACACACACACACACACACACACACGCACGCACGCACGCACGCACACACACACACACACACACCGCTCTGAAAACCGTTCCTACGCCCCTGTATAGAGATGTTTACAGTCAGCTGTCTTCAAGTCTGCCTTGAGGGAACTGGGCGAGTTTACCTCTTTATTCCCCTCCCTTACAAACAGCCCTGACACTGGTGGTGGCCATATTTCTGATAGCAGCTACACTTTGCGTTACAAGCCCTTGTCACTCGTACTGACGAAGAGTAAAATCAATGAGGCCTTTCCGAATGCCTCCGATATTTGTATAACCTATTCAGAGGCACGCGTTCCTCGTCTTCATCCGACCTCATGACCAGGTTATCTCTGACTGATTCCTGGATGAAATGACCGTGATCTTCCCTTGAAGTTTACAGGAGTAGGGCCACCACAGCGACACTATTTCTTAAGTACAGTGTCCTTCACTCTGCATACACATAGTTGTCGCCCTTGACCCTGTTGGGAACAGTTGCTCGGGTTTCGAATCCCAGATTCGTCACAATTCAGCACTGTCAGCATCATTCCGTTGCACATCACAAAGTGGTCAACATTTTCAAGTATTCCCTGCAACACTCAAGATTTTCATCCCACAATTACGCCATATTATAACTGAAATATTATTTGAAGCAGCGTAAACGCACACTCCTGCAGAGGTATTCATCAACAGGCGTTAGAGGTGATTCTATCGTTCCTGCTTACCATTCAGCTCTATATGTAAATATATAGAGTTGTGTTTAATGGAATCAGTTCTACAGCTGCGTGAATCTGGAATTCCTGGAAGGCCTGCGTCACACGTAAAGATGTCATCATCTTTACTAATGTTTGAGTATGTGAGTGACTGTGGTTTTACGCCGCTTTTAGCAATATTCCAGCAACATCAAGGCAGAGGACACCAGAAATGGGCTTCACACATTGTACCTCCACCTCGTACCCATTGTACCCATGTGGGGAAACGAACCTGGTCTTCAGCGTGACAAGCAGACTTTGGCAACTCCACCGCCCTACTTCTGCTTTACCCACACATATCACCCTATACGTCCTACGTCTAGGACTACCTTAATGTTTACACAGACACGTAGTAGCAACACAGCTGCAATAAGACCACCATCCTCTATGCCATGTGCAGAAATTCGTTATAAAATCAATAAAACGATTTCTCGGATACCCAAGAAACTTCCGACAGACCAATTTGATTGGTTGACGCTTATTGCCTTAATTTGCCGAATGCATGAGTAGTCTATCATGTCCGGGTCAAGGTATAGGAGTTCATCTTTAAGTGCGAGGAGGAAATATCGGTGGAATAGAAGTAGATACAGTGTTTGCCTGAAGAGCGAAGATCGGTCGTCCGATATCCCGTCAGGTGATGCTGAACGGGATTAAAGATGTTAGTTGTTGTATTCCTGCGCTCGTCATATAGGACACAGAGTAGAGACAAGTGGGCTCGGGTGGTATCCACTGGGACGTGGTATCTCAGTGGCCTTGCACAATAAAACCAGCGTTGGTCTTATCTGTCACAGGCGAGTACTAAAGCACGTCGCTCTTTAAAAGCAATCATCTTGTGGTCGACGTTAAGCTCCACCTCGACTTCAGTGGAATCAGCTGAAGAACTACCCCTCCGTATCGAGGTCGACTTCGTGCTTGTGAGGCGGTCACAGAATTATTGCTATCCCCCTAATTGTTCAGAAGGTAGCTGAAATGTTCCGCTTTGTAAATGATACCATGGGAAGTGGAGGTCTGGCCACATTGCATGACTTAGTGTACTTCGTATGACATGGTTGGTTGTTTAACGCCGCCATGATATTTCTGGAATATTGCTAAAAGCGACGTAAAACCTTACTCACTCACTCATTCATATGACATAATAGTTGATTTGGAGGTCTATACAATTCGATTTGAAGACTAAAACATATTAAGACAACAGTAATAGGAGGTTCACGACTCCTGGTATCAATTTCTGTCAGACGAACCTAAAAAACGGTCCTATATGTATATCTTCCGCCCTTATAATGGTTTCATATGTATCGCATATCAGCAGTTGGTTACGTGTAACTGTGATCTATCATTGTGCTATATCTGTTCGAGGTGTTCTGTCTTCAACAGCTCCATTGTCTTTGCAACATGTTCCATGTATCCGTCCTGTTCTAATTATATACACAGTTCGCTGTTGAACTTGGACATGGGCACTATATACACATCGTACCGATGTTCCAATATACTCAGTAAAACCTTCATTGATTTCTGCTGTCACCAGAATACTCGCCTTATATAAACTACCATCCACTGTCTCCGTTATCAATCGATATCGCACCGTGCGTATATGGTGAGCCAGAGTGTATCATAGAGGTTTGGTCAAGGCGTCCCGGCGGCAGCGCATTACAGCCACAGCGACAGTTTACTGGCCCCACAATC